GAAGGCACGGCCTTCGACCTGGCTGGCCAAGCCGCTGCCGAGCATGAAGATTACCCGTGCTTCTGGTCGCGCGGACTGGTACCCCTAGGCTGGGCGTACAGAACATGTGACCGCTGGACCGACTTTCGGTTCTCCTCCGACGGGGTCCTCCAGCACCAACAGCGGTTCCAGCTACCTCCCCAAGCAGTAGTAGGCTCTGACGGCAGCGGGGGGGGGGGCTGTCCTCAGACGTAAGGCGTCAGCGCTGCGGGTGGGGTTTCGCGGTGGCCTGCCAAAGGCAAGTCCTCGGGAAAGCCTGGGCCCCCTGGTGGGCCGCTCCCACGCGGCCCCGCTCGCTGAGCTAGAAGCTGTGACCCAAGCCCCGCGCCACACATCAGGTCCAGGGAAATTTGTTATAGATGCCAAATACGTTATAGATGGCATAGCTCGGGCCCCCCAGCACGCCAGCCCCTCGAACTCGGCAGCCTGGGCCCGTTTTTGGGCCGCTGTCCAGGAGCGCCCGGGGGGGCCCGAGCTTTTTTAAGTTAAATCGCACCTGCACCGTGCTGATGTCGGACGCCTCGTGAGCGAAGATGAATTTGCGGCGAATGAGACGGCCGATTTTGCGGCCGACCTCGGCGCGAAGGAGGCCGCGTTCCCCCCCAGGCTCTCGGCGATCTCGCCGCCCTGGATACCTTGGCTTTTGAGGTTGCCAAACATCTCCTCACGGTCGGCCTCGAAGAGGCCAAGACCCGAGCTGAAGACGCCACGGCAAACCCTGGGCCTTCTTTTGCCGAACGATTTGCGGCCCAGCGAGCGAAGCGACTCGACAAGAGAGTTGAGACCGCTGCCGCGGCAGCAACTACCTCCCACAGGCCCATCCCGTGACGAGGAGGATTGCGGCGCGCGGTCTGCCTCCAGTCCCCCACTCGGGCCCTCCCTAAACCTGAGTGGCTCCGTGCATCATGTCTAGGCCGCCCAGCCCAGATCCATGACAGCCACCACCTCCGTAACACCAGGGGGCTGTGGTGGTGCACCACGTGTGGAGGGTCAGGGGATACTAAGTTCCTCTCCATCAGTAAGGTTTGCATGCCTCCGACGAAAAGCAGGGAGAGTTGCCCTGGATCGTCTCGCCGAGATGAGCTTCCTCCAAAGCGGGCCTCGTGGCCAGACGCGTCGCGAGGATCGCCGTCTCTTTTTCTTCCTTTCCCCCCTGTAAGTAGAGGATCACGCCCCCGATGAGCGCCCCAGGAGGAGGAGGAGGAGGAGGGAGGAGGAGGAGGAGGATGAGGAGGAGGAATGAGGAGGAGGAACATGAGGCGGATGGGGGACGATGGGGAGGATGAGGAGGATGAGGAGGAGGAGGGAGGAGGAGGAGGAGGAGGAGGAGGAGGAGGAGGAGGGAGGAGGAGGAGGAGGAGGAGGAGGAGGAGGGGAGGACGAGGAGGAGGAGGGGGAGGAGGAGGAGGAGGAGGAGGAGGAGGAGGAGGAGGAGGAGGAGGAGAGGGGAGGAGGAGGAGGAGGGGCGAGGAGGAGGAGGAGGAGGAGGAGGAGGAGGAGGGGAGGAGGAGGAGGTGGAGGAGGAGGAGGAGGAGGAGCAGGCGGAGGAGGGGAGGATGAGTGGAGGAGGAGGGGAGGAGGAGGGGGGAGGAGGAAAAGGAGGAGGAGAAGGGGGGGAGGATGCGGAGGAGGAGGGGGAGGAGGCGGAGGAAGGAGGAGGAGGAGGAGGGGAGGAGGAGGAGGAGGAGGAGGAGGAGGAGGAGGAGAGGAGGAGAGGAGAAGAGGAGAAGAGGAGAAGAGGAGAAGAGGGAGAGGAGGAGACGAGGAGAAGAGAGAAGCGGAGAAGAGGAGAAGAGGAGAAGAGGAGAAGAGGAGGAGGAGGAGAGGAGGAGGAGGAGGCGGAGGAGGAGGAGTTGGAGGAGGAAGAGGAGGAGGAGGAGGAGGAGGAGGAGGAGGAGGAAGAGGAGGAGGGAAGGAGGAGAGAGGAGGAGAGGAGGAGGAGGAGGAGGAGGAGGAGGAGGGAGGAGGAGGAGGAGGCGGAGGAGGAGGAGGAGGAGGGGAAAGAGGAGGAGGATGACGAGGAGGAAAACGAGGAGCCGCAGGATGCGGAGGGGGAGGAGGAGGGAGAGGATGAGGCGGAGGAGGGAGAGGAAGAGGAGGAGGAGGGGAGGAGGCGGAAGAGGAGTTGGAGGAGGAGGAGGAGGAGGAGGAGGAGGAGGTGGACGAGCAGGAGGAGGAGGAGGAGGGAGGGGAGGAGGAAAATGAGGGGAGGCGGAGAACGAGGTGGGGGTGGGGGAGGGGAGGGGGAAAGGTGATAGGAGAAGGAGGATGAGGAGGAGGGGAGGAGGAGGATGATGAGGATGATGGAGGAGGAGGAGAAGGGAGGAGGAGAAGGGGAGGAGGAAGACGAGGAGAAGGAGGGGAGGAGGAGGAGGAGGGAGGAGGAGGAGGGGGAGGAGGAGGCGGAGAAGGAGGAGGAGGAGGATGGAGGCGGAGGAGGAGGAGGAGGAGGCGGGGGAGG